CATTTACGCGGTACCCTCAGAATCAAGGTCCCACTTACTGGTGCATCTACTCATGTACTCATATCACGGGAGAAATAAATTTTTTATTAGCTCATAAAATTCATACAAAATTACCAGGCCAGAATATAATTTACATTGCTGGAATTCTTACAATTGATCATTTTGAATATAAGCATCATAGATTTTGCATTAGACATACAAATTTTAGATCTAGAAATATTTTGTTACTCAGAGCAAATATGTTATCTTTTGTGGCAAATATATGACATATATTCAAAATATTCCTGGTCTTCCAAGGAAGCTGCTATATTATCTAACTTTAGTCTGAGTATTATTTATTACTAAAAAGGTAAATATTCTGGTTTCTCCCAAACATTTCTCTGGGTAGGGAGGAGGGACCGACGACCCAGCTAGCGTGGTGGGAGAAGAAGGGGTAGGCAAGGTGGGGTATTTTTGATTGACAGTGTGTGTGATGAATATTTTTTTATTAACTAGATATTTGTTTTAGCTCATAAATTCATAAATTACGAGAATATAATTTACATTGTGGAATTTTACAATTTGATGATCAATTTGAATATAAACATCATAGATTTTGCATTAGACATACAATTTTAGATCTAATGTAAGTATTTTGTTTACTCTGAGTAAATATTTATCTTTTGTGAAAATATATGACATTCATATTCAAATATTCTGGTCTTAGAATCAGCATGTCAATTATATTATCTAACTTTAGCTTGAGGTTATTATTTTCTATACAGTATTATCTGCGGTTTTCACTTCCGCTTTTTCTCATTTCGGGTGCCTCGCCAGAACGAACTTTCACTTTCCGTTCATCTACCCATATCTGGCGCAGAGTGTCTGGCTCGGCGCTATTTTAGATCGCCTCCCGCCTGCTCCGCCTCTGCCTGGAAGCCGCGAGTAAGGGGTTGCGCAGTGCATGTCTCTATTCGTTATAGTGGCGTCGCCTGGCATGCGTCGGACTTTGATTGGCCATGCATCCCCTCCCTCCGCTGCTAGCTGTGGTGGGTTTGAAAGTAATATAGCGTGTCACCGGAAGGAGAAAGCGGCAACTTGACTAACGTAGCATTTCATCCCCCTCCAGGCCACACCGTGCTTATCACGTGCATCCATTGTTGCTGGCAGAAATAGCTTCGCGGTTCCACGCCTGAAAACCTTTCTGGACCCAGCTTCCTAATGAAAATCGCGATTTCCTAAGCTACGAAGTGAAACCAAATAAATTTGAATTTGGAGAAAAACCGTCAGCTGATCCTCGGCGCTGTACAGGTGAAGCGAATCTCACGATTAAAGCTGTTCTGAGATGCAGCCAGATCAGGCACATGACAATCACCAGAGTCTGGTGCCTCAATGATGAAGTATTCCCCAGAACCGAGTGCTGCTTGCAGGTGGAGAAGAAATTGCAGAAGCGTTGTTCCCGTTTAATCAGTGCGGCAACAATATGGCGGTGGACTACGATCTGTTCGAAATGCGCACGTGAGCTATGCGCAGTGTCACGTAAGATGGGGTGCGAGAGCCCAAACCGCTAATGCTTCCTCCTGGTTGGCTTATGGGTTTAGAGGAGAACAATATCACCAACATCAACATTGCTGGTGAAATTATGCTGACAGTGTGGCTGACTAGAGATTTTCCTCCCATTCTTATGTGAGGAATTATGGAGGAAGACAGTTCACGTAACCAGGTGTTCAACATGAATGAATCCGGCCTTTTGGAAAAGCTGCCTTCAAGACCTTTGTTGTCCAGTGCACAGCAAGGTTCAGGGTCGGAGACTTTATCACCGTCTCCTGCAATGCCTCAAATTTACCTATAAGCCAAAGTTATGATTGATTCACACAGCCTAGGCATACGCCTACAGAACGTGGACATGAGCAAAGATTAATGTCACTGGCTGACCCCACTTACGCAAAGTGGATGTTCTCTACTCAGTCACTCCTCACTGGTTTGATGACGTTTCATTCGGCGTGAAGAAATTCTGCGAGCAAAAAAATTTTCCATTCAAGTTTGTTGCCCTTGACCTTGCGCAGGACCTCGCCCTACTTGTGGATCGTCACTAGCGTAAAAGTGGTCTTCAGCCACTCCAACACTCGACATTAATCCCAGCCCACTGGACAGGAGTTGATCTGCAATGTTAAAAGCTCATTACTCTGCAAAGTTCAAGCTCCTGAGCGACTGTACCAACACCAAGGATGGGTTGCAGAAGCTGGGTGACACCGACAGGAGTAAAAGCGGCGGGACAAGAAGACAGAGGTGGTGACTCAAAGTTCTTGTCAAACAGTTTTGAATTTAACATCAAACAAGCTGTAGACTTCTTGGTGGGCACAGGATCAGCTATCTGCTGCTTCGATTGAGAGTCACGTGGAGGCATGTGTTGCATGGCATACCGAAAGGTGGCGGAGTCAACCTGTGACTGGTGAAGTTCAGTCTGTGACAGTGGCATTGGACTTGCTTACGAGAGAAACTGCGCTTTTGATATTACAGCTGACTTCTCTGAGACACCAGAAGACATCTAGGTGATGAGATCTGAAATGACTGCCCGTGAGATGTTGAGATGATCACGTCACTGAAGAAGATGGTGCGTCAATCTCAGAAGAACTGAGATTCGCGCGCAAGTAATATTAAAAGGAATTGCCATCGTGTGCAGAAATTGAAGCTCTTCCTTTCCAGCGGCCTGCCCAGCGATGGCCCGCTATGAAGTCTTCCATACCGGCTGGTGCAGGCTATGGGCCGTACGGCATCAAGGTGTATCAAAGACAACATCAACACTAGCCGTCAAAAAGCATTACCGAGTTCTTTGCCGCAGCCACAGCCAGCCAGAGCCAGTGATAGTGAGTGAAAGTGACTGAGGATTTGTCGAAGCCCTGACCTTCCATAACTAAATAGTGATGGTGATCGCCTAATAATGGTGATTCACCTGGTAGTAATCTGCCCTCCTGCCTGGGAGACCAGCCTCCATCCCGTATGCGACCCATCTCTTCTACTAACGTAAAGTGTTACACCCAACACTAGTTTTCCTAACCTAACCTTTATTTTCCTAAACCTAACCTCTTCTATATTAATTGTGTGTGCATACCATCATAAAGTTAAGATAATATATTTACTACAACAAAGTTGTGGGTAGATCAAAAAGTGGAGTTTGGGGGTTAGGCCAGTCTCTATTGGAATTAATCCCATATGTTCCGTTGTTCACTTTACGTTTCCTCCACCCTGTGGGTTCAATTGACCGCGTAAATCGGGGTACTACTGTACCTTAAAATCAGGTGTTTTCCCCTAAACATTTCTCAGAGAGGCAAGAGCCAGCAACTGTGAGAAGAGATGGAGGAGTAGTCCATTGTTTGAATGGACATTAACTAGGAGACTGTAATTCTCTATTTCTCTTAAATATTAATTGTGTGCGCGTACCATCATAAAATTTAAATGTTATTTTTACTAGAACATAGGTATTGTGTGGAAAAAAGTGGAGTTTGAGGTCGGCCTGGTCTCTATTTCAATTAATCCCATATGTTATGTTGTTCACTTTCTGCGTTTCTCGCGTAGGCCTCCTTGGGTTCAGTTGACCTCATAAAGTGGGGTTCCTGTATTTTCCTGACATAGTGCAGTCACAGCCAGTCCAGCACCTGCCTACCTCCATGTTGGTGTACTGGTGCAACCCACTAGAAATTATAAGGAGAGGAGAGGGGAGGTGTTTAAGTAATATAAAACTACTTTTTGTACAATATGATATTTAGTGTTTATTAAAGCAGTGTTAGACGAGTTTGCATATTTCTTAGCCTCTGGAATCAGATTACAGTAATTATTTCCATTTAAATCAATCACAGTGATCCCTCGGTTACTGAGATTTCGGTTAACGAATTACCTTTCATAAGATTCTTACAGTTGTGACCATCCCTCGATTAACGAATTTCTTCTGTCTCAACATGTTTTAAGCTTGCATTTGGCGGTCCACCAGCTGTAGTATTAGTCCGCCAATACAGTAATTGGTTCTGGGAGCTTAATTCACTATTTTAGTAAATATCAAAGTTTCTACTATTCAAAAAATGTTAAAAAGTTTTATATTATTTTTTAGTCATTTTAACAATTATTGAACATAATTGAAGTATAGGAAGCTAGTTTTGTGATAGCCAAACAGCCTGTCAACATACCATACAGGCATCAGTCTCTGTCTTTTCAGTGGAGGAAACATCTTGCTTCAGACTCTCTTCAACATAAACGCTTTTTGTTTCCAAGCAATTAATGGGTCATTTTGAAATTTATTTTACATATTGACAATATATAATGCAGTGCAGTGTTGATTTAAAATAATCTTGAATTACACCATGAACAAAAATTTTATGGGTGAAATGGCACCATGGGGTGACTTCTCTTCCACCCCAATGCCTTCTCTTCTCCCTTCTCCTCCACCCCTATTCTAATTCCCATCATCATCATCAAGGAGCCTTCTACATACAAACCTCAAAGTAAGTGTACTTTATTACCTTTTTTGTTGACTTCAGGCAATTTTTGGTGAGCTGGAACCAATTACCCAAAACCCATTGAAACAATGGTTTTGGTTTACGAATTTTTCGGTTAACTAGCAACCTACTAGAACGAATTCTGCTCGTTAACCGAGGGACCACTGTAAACTATAATTTTCAATTTGATAGTTCATGATGTCTTCTGGTACCCTATTAGTGGTATCGACACTTCACTGTATTTCTTTACTGTTTATATCATGGTTCACTATTTTGTGCAATTAATCTTATATTTTATCCCCTCCCCACATTGGTGTGGGAGGTGCACATGTTTACCATAGCCCAGTGCCTAGGGGTTAACCCTTAAGCCCCGGGTTAGGGTGGTGCTGGCAGTACCACCCCACCCCCGTGGGGGATAAACCGAGAAAAAAAAATAAAAAAAATAAATAAATAAATAAATAAAATATAAAAATGGTGGGAATAGGCAGACATTCTGAGATATACTCACCTGGGGCCTAAGAGTTAAACACCTTTATTTTCAGTGTTTTATTTAATGCATGATGAAATTATTTCCAAAATTCTACCTAATTCAGAAACCTTTTCAAATCTGTACTTTAGTTGGAATTTGAGCACACATGGGAGGGGTACTTGATAAAGAAAATTAATCTAAAATATAGTAAAATTGTTGAACTACATAAATGTGTCCCTTTTGTTTGTGTGCACCAACAGTCCTGCCACTCAGCACATAGAGGTTGGTAGGTACATGTACTTTCTTTAATATATTTTATTTACACAGTGAAGCTGTATCAAATCAAACAAATGATATGATGGTCACCACAAACCAAGTACTTCCCTGACTGGCTCAATGTCATCAACTTACAATTCAAAGTGGCCACTGCCCAAAGACAAAGAATTCTGAGAGAGAACCATTAAGTTTTATTAAAATAAGGTGCCTAAATAAGAGATTCAGAAGGCACTCTATGAAAGGGAGACTTCATCAAGGGTGAAGCACTGCTTTTTTGAAACAATAACGTATACATTTTGGCTTATTAAACACATGATCCACTTAGTCCAGCATGTACTGTACATTTTTTTGTAGCTATCTACCTTCCTTCTACTGTGCAGTAATTCAAATGAATTAATAATGTTTTACTGTACAGTCCACAGCTTAATATTGAATGTATACGAATACACCACGATGACAGTAATAACTGTCTTAGGGTGTATTTCTTATTACAAATATACAATATACATAAGGAGAACCATTTACATCCTCAAATAAATTTTTGTCCCCTATACTGTACTGTACTGTGAGTTTGTTGTATGTAAAAGAAAGGCGTCAATCATATACAACAGAGCATTACATAATGTATGCCAAGCAATAGTTATATTTATACATTATTTATGACAATTACACCACAACTATGACTAAGTATATTATAACAAAATCTATGTGCACTACAATAACAATTAAACTAAAAAATTTTAGTGGTTTAAAATGTGCCAAGTCTCAGATACAGAATTCAAAATATTTTTGAAAAGTCCCATATTTTAACTGTTCCATCATCACTGGCAGATGCCAGTAATCCTCCCACTACTGGGTTCCAAGCCACACTATTGACATCTTCAGTATGTGCCTGGGGTATAGTTACAATAAGATCATACACTGGAGCATTTTTAGAGGATTCGGACTGCTCTTTGAAATCACGAATGGCATCATCTCCACAAGAAGTGACGATAGCCCCAGAGATGGCACCAATCAATGTCATATATTGGACGACTGTGATACCCAGATAATGTACACACACATTTCCATACAGGCTCGTTATTTGGTGTGTAATTCCTTCTTCATTCCCTGGATGATATTCCTGCCATATCTTGACTGTGCCATCATCAGAGCAGGAAGCCAAACGATGTCCAGAAGCATCAAAAGCAAGACCCCAGACAGTTGATTCATGTCCATTCAAAGTGCAAAACACAGCCCAGTCATCAACGTCCTCTTTATAAAGTTTGATACTGTTGTCATAAGAGGCTGATGCAAGAATATCAGCACTGGGATGAAAGACTACTTTCTTGACATCCTGAGTGTGGGATGGCATCACTGACAAACACTCTCCTCATCATCACCGTAACCTCCCATACCCACACTGACTTGTCCCTTGAACAGGTGGCTAACAAAGACCCTGATGCTGACCAGTCAACACATTTTACCTCATTTTCATGACCCTCTAAGGTTTATACACTCAATGTCATTAGTTTTACAATCCCATATATTAACTGTAGCATCAAAACTAGCTGAGGCCATGTTTTTCCCACAGGGAGACCAGGCCACACATCTTACAGTGCGTGAGTGGGCCTCACTTAAGACATTCTTGTTATCCATGTATCCCCTTCCTTTGCCCAAAAGGCGAATAGAGCGATCAGACCCACAAGAGCTAAGGATAGTGCAGGTTCCAAGATACATTCCACCTCGATCCTTGTGTCCCGTCAGAGTTTCCATTGCAGTAGCCATATTTCCTTCTCACCAGTCTGAAAGTAGAAACAATATCATGTGAACAAGCAACACTGGTTTTAAGCCTAAACTGTTAACTCAAATAATCAATGATAAAGTGATAAATTACTAGAAATGAGTACAGTACACTAAATACAAAAATATCCTACAAAAATCACAGCCATCTACATAATTTCACATGCAATATTCTGTATTTAACCACTTGTGTCTAATAACATTATTACAATAGCCAAATAAAACATTAAAAAGTATCCATAAAGTGAATGGGTTAAGATACAAAGAACAATTGTAATTTAACTCCAAAACACCTTATCACATCTAAAATGTAATGTGTCACAAACCCATAAAAGTGAGGACGAATCCTGGAACACCAGCTTGCTAAAGCTCCATTACAGTGTTCTCATGATTTTCTCTGGAAAGCTCAGTGTATTTGCTGTTTAAACAGCTTTTTTTCTCACCAAACTTGAATCTCTCATGGCCAATTATTAAAAACAAAAGCTTGGGCTCCACCACCCCTGTCCTCTGAGCTATAATTAGAGTTACTGTATATCACCCCTACGAGTGCAGGACACCTAAAATAGTACAGGAATACCTTGCTATTCGCCGCCCCGCTAACCTGTAATTTACATTTTAAGAGCCCCTATTATGGTGCCCTTGCAATATTGCAAATGTGGAGCTGGCCCATAGCTCTCATATTCGGCTGTATACACATACGTAAGTCCTGGGTCGTCGTCCGGCATGTTGTTTGGGTACTCGTCACTGAACTTCAGACAAAAATTTGTTTAATGTCTCGGTGATCCGATACTACGTAGTTTTGCGTCATCGGGACTACCTTCGGCGCATCACCCGCTCTTCTCTGGCAGCTACACTCTCTCTCGGTGCGCTGCCTCTCACTTTCGCGAGCGTCACAGCATCCCAAAAGCCAGTCTCTTTTACAACTTTCATCGGTATTGTGCATAAATCTTTGCTCTGGCTGTACTCTAACCATTCTAAATGGCTTCCAAGTGCCCATCAAGTGCTCTGGGACACTAGTGTAGGGGAAGAGGCAACATAAGACCATTACCCTGCTACAAAAATGGACGTATTAGCAATTTGAGAAGGAAGCAGCTATTGACATAGCAGCTGAGCTTGGTCTAACCCCACAGCGGTCGTCATTATTTACCACACCTCACCGGACTACTCATGGCTACAATACACCCTGGACAGGCTGCAGGCATGGACTACGAGAACAAGGTCTCATCAACCACACCAAAACCGTGTCATCAGCACATCATACGCTAACACTCAAGTGCAAGCTCCAGCAGGTCACAGTGGGTGCCAATCCTCCAGTTAGTGCAGTCTGCCAAACTCCTGGGTGTTACTATAGACCACAAACTGGACTGGAAGGCCCATGTAAACAACACAATCAAGGCAGTCTCGTACGACTCTACATGCTCACGGCGACTTAGGTCACTTGGGGCACCACGCCAGAGCTGAGGGGGACTATCTACAATGCCTTTATTCTCCAAACTAACTTGTGCATCACCAGCCTGGTAGTTGTATCTCAACTCTACCCAACAACGTCGGCTAGAAGGTACAGAAAAGAGCCTGCAGGAATCATGCTCGGCGCGGACTACTCTGGTACAACAACGCTCTCCACACCTGGAAGAGCCATCCAGCACTCCACCAGCAAGCACTAGCAAGGTTTGGCGTGAACTACTGCCATCATCGTCGCCATACAGGCAGTCCCCGCCCACCTGGCGCGAGTCTGCCACAACAATAAAATTCAGCCCATAAGAGCCTGCACTGATAGATATAAGAATAGCACCATCCCATCTATTGTTAAAATAATAAACAACTCTGATTTATGTGCTGTACAGCCCTGTAAATGTATTTGACATGTATTATGTCTAAATCTCATGTAAGTTTGTATATTTTCAAGCACAACTCTATTAATAAGCGTTTTATTTATATATATATATATATATATATATATATATATATATATATATATATATTATATATATATATATATATATATATATATATATATATATATATATATATATATATATATATATATATATATATATTTTTTTCCTGCCTACTTACGACTAAGTTGGACTTAGCCTTATGAAATTTTTTTTTCAAATGACATGCATTTTCTATACCGCGTTTCAGTTATGTAGTCTCCATGTATAATTAGAAAATTATGGGGGCCCCATGTGCATTCAGCTGACTACAATAAAGGTTAAGTGCTCAGTCACACTGTAACCATTCACTTATTATTTATTACTTTCACTGTACTGTATCCATTCATCACTTCTACTTACCTGATTTGGCCCATACTTAGCGGTCAATAGAACCCAGGGTTGGCGTTAAGTGAAATCGCAATCAAGTGAACAACAGAACATATGGGATTAATTCCATAGAAACCAGCCCGACCCCAAACTCCACTTTTGGACACATAACTATGTTGTAGTAAAATAACATCTTAATTTTAGTGGTACGCATTTAATTACTTAAGAGAAATAGAAATTAAGCCAAGTTAATGTCCAATCAAATAATGGACTCAACTCCTCCCCTCTTCTCACACTACACTGCTGGCTCTTCCCTCTCTGAAAATTTTTGGGGAAAACCACTAGGTTTTAATAAATATTACCTCAAACTAAAGTTTGGGATAATATAATTGACATTGCTGGATTCCTTGTAAGACCAGAGATAATTTTGAATATAAATGTCATATATTTTTGCGCAAAAGATATAGTTACTCTGAAGAATTTTTATCTAAAATTTGTATGTCTAATGCAAAATATATGATGTTTATATTCAAAATGATCTAAATTATAAGAATTCAGCAATGTAAATTATATTCTGACCGGCAATTTGTATGAATTTT